GGGGGGCAATGTGTTTACATCGGACTTTATATCTGGTCCGGTCGGTTCCGGGTGATTTCGGGGAAGGATTTTAGTTTGTGCGTTCTTGTTTTATAATATAAAAGGTTCCTGATGACTGTCGGGGTCTTTATTTCTGTGTGTGTCCCAGTGGGAGAATCTCCACTCACTTCCTGCCATGTTGTCACTGGAGCAGGAAGTGAGAGAAGACATTTCCAGCAAGGGGATATTGGCACTATAGACGGGACACACGATGTGCCCTTCCCGGATATGTCCAATATGACAACAAGAGAAGTCACTGAGCTGGAGTTCCGCTTTAAAGACGAAGGTTCTGCAGAGTTTGCTGAGAAGAGTCCCCAGACTTCCCACAGCTCTGAGAACATTCGGCTGATTTCTGTGTTCTTGGGCAGCACGCTGTGACAGGTCCTCCTAAAGGACAATGCCGACTCCTCCCAGTCTCTGCAAGAATATAACTGTCATGGCTGACAGTGGGCGGAGCCTAAATATTACAGCGTCGTCATTGACGCATAACTCCAGGAGTGTGACTGCAGCCCGGAGCAATCCAACACCATACACCCTGAGGAGGAGCTTACACTCTAATGTCCCCTCCCCCCACAGTCACATCAGTCTCTGTACAGAGGAGCTTACACTCTAATGTCCCCAAGTACAATCCGTATATCGGATCTGGCTCATTTAATACGATCGGCAGCCAGAAAGTTCCTGACGGCAATGATCGTCATGGCAGCATGTGACCGGTGTTATGTCAGCGGGGTGTGTTCACTCGGAACAGGTTCATCCAGAAATGTGAGCCGGGGATGTTGTTGCCCAGCCAGAGACAGATGTGCTGCGATATAAATAGCGCCAGGAGAGGGTCACGCTGATCTTGTTGACGTACGGAAATAACATCCGACGACACCAGAACCGCGCTCCGAGTTCTCTGTCTTTTTATAATTACCCCAAAAATATCCTCCGAAAACAGAACGCGGTCATATCCTTGTGTGTTCTCCTGGAGACATCGCGGGTCTGATCTCCTTCCAAGTGCAACTCTGGCTGAATCATCCTCATCGTTACACAGAATTTATATCATGCCAACAGTCCACGCTTTACAAAGATGAAAGTATAATTCAGTACAAGAGGGTGAGGAGGACCCTGATCACAGGAGCTTACAATCTAAAAGAAATGACATCTATGATGAAGTCTAACAATAGTATAACACAACAGCTTTTCTTTTTCCGAGTCCACCTGCCACTTCCTGTCTACAGGCGCTCCAGTGTGGCCGGTAACATTGATCAGAGGGAGATAGAGAGATACAAAGTAACATTGTATATAAACATTGATCAGAGGAGATAGAGAGATACAAAGTAACATTGTATATAAACATTGATCAGAGGAGATAGAGAGATACAAAGTAACATTGTATATAAACATTGATCAGAGGAGATAGAGAGATACAAAGTAACATTGTATATAAACATTGATCAGAGGAGATAGAGAGATACAAAGTAACATTGTATATAAACATTGATCAGAGGAGATAGAGAGATACAAAGTAACATTGTATATAAACATTGATCAGAGGAGATAGAGAGATACAAAGTAACATTGTATATAAACATTGATCAGAGGAGATAGAGAGATACAAAGTAACATTGTATATAAACATTGATCAGAGGAGATAGAGAGATACAAAGTAACATTGTATATAAACATTGATCAGAGGAGATAGAGAGATACAAAGTAACATTGTATATAAACATTGATCAGAGGAGATAGAGAGATACAAAGTAACATTGTATATAAACATTGATCAGAGGAGATAGAGAGATACAAAGTAACATTGTATATAAACATTGATCAGAGGAGATAGAGAGATACAAAGTAACATTGTATATAAACATTGATCAGAGGAGATAGAGAGATACAAAGTAACATTGTATATAAACATTGATCAGAGGAGATAGAGAGATACAAAGTAACATTGTATATAAACATTGATCAGAGGAGATAGAGAGATACAAAGTAACATTGTATATAAACATTGATCAGAGGAGATAGAGAGATACAAAGTAACATTGTATATAAACATTGATCAGAGGAGATAGAGAGATACAAAGTAACATTGTATATAAACATTGATCAGAGGAGATAGAGAGATACAAAGTAACATTGTATATAAACATTGATCAGAGGAGATAGAGAGATACAAAGTAACATTGTATATAAACATTGATCAGAGGAGATAGAGAGATACAAAGTAACATTGTATATAAACATTGATCAGAGGAGATAGAGAGATACAAAGTAACATTGTATATAAACATTGATCAGAGGAGATAGAGAGATACAAAGTAACATTGTATATAAACATTGATCAGAGGAGATAGAGAGATACAAAGTAACATTGTATATAAACATTGATCAGAGGAGATAGAGAGATACAAAGTAACATTGTATATAAACATTGATCAGAGGAGATAGAGAGATACAAAGTAACATTGTATATAAACATTGATCAGAGGAGATAGAGAGATACAAAGTAACATTGTATATAAACATTGATCAGAGGAGATAGAGAGATACAAAGTAACATTGTATATAAACATTGATCAGAGGAGATAGAGAGATACAAAGTAACATTGTATATAAACATTGATCAGAGGAGATAGAGAGATACAAAGTAACATTGTATATAAACATTGATCAGAGGAGATAGAGAGATACAAAGTAACATTGTATATAAACATTGATCAGAGGAGATAGAGAGATACAAAGTAACATTGTATATAAACATTGATCAGAGGAGATAGAGAGATACAAAGTAACATTGTATATAAACATTGATCAGAGGAGATAGAGAGATACAAAGTAACATTGTATATAAACATTGATCAGAGGAGATAGAGAGATACAAAGTAACATTGTATATAAACATTGATCAGAGGAGATAGAGAGATACAAAGTAACATTGTATATAAACATTGATCAGAGGAGATAGAGAGATACAAAGTAACATTGTATATAAACATTGATCAGAGGAGATAGAGAGATACAAAGTAACATTGTATATAAACATTGATCAGAGGAGATAGAGAGATACAAAGTAACATTGTATATAAACATTGATCAGAGGAGATAGAGAGATACAAAGTAACATTGTATATAAACATTGATCAGAGGAGATAGAGAGATACAAAGTAACATTGTATATAAACATTGATCAGAGGAGATAGAGAGATACAAAGTAACATTGTATATAAACATTGATCAGAGGAGATAGAGAGATACAAAGTAACATTGTATATAAACATTGATCAGAGGAGATAGAGAGATACAAAGTAACATTGTATATAAACATTGATCAGAGGAGATAGAGAGATACAAAGTAACATTGTATATAAACATTGATCAGAGGAGATAGAGAGATACAAAGTAACATTGTATATAAACATTGATCAGAGGAGATAGAGAGATACAAAGTAACATTGTATATAAACATTGATCAGAGGAGATAGAGAGATACAAAGTAACATTGTATATAAACATTGATCAGAGGAGATAGAGAGATACAAAGTAACATTGTATATAAACATTGATCAGAGGAGATAGAGAGATACAAAGTAACATTGTATATAAACATTGATCAGAGGAGATAGAGAGATACAAAGTAACATTGTATATAAACATTGATCAGAGGAGATAGAGAGATACAAAGTAACATTGTATATAAACATTGATCAGAGGAGATAGAGAGATACAAAGTAACATTGTATATAAACATTGATCAGAGGAGATAGAGAGATACAAAGTAACATTGTATATAAACATTGATCAGAGGAGATAGAGAGATACAAAGTAACATTGTTTATAAACATTGATCAGAGGGGGAGATAGAGAGATACAATGTGTCTGCGTTAGTCTTGGAATATCAAAACAAACGACAAACGCACTCAACAATTTGTTACCAGTTATACAGCGCGGTGCACACGGAATGGGCTTTGAACAGTAAAACAGTAGAAAGGCATCATGGCGCACTCACAAACCAGCATGTAAAACAACTTGTCTCACCACTAAGGACAATGACAGAGGTTTGGATACACGTCTTCTGCAAAGGATGTGTAAGCCGCACATGGATGTGCGGGATCCCTTGTGTGTCTCTGTACCTTTAAGGAGGTGGGGCGTCCTCCTGACAGGCCTGCACCCAATTTGATATCTTCTGCCCCCATGTGCTCCAAGATGGAGACTCTCATAGTTTAGAGTTAGGACCGCACTATAAGAGGTGCCTTGGCGCGGCAGTGCGGCTTTCACATCCTCTGCAGAAGACGTGTATCCAAACCTCTGTCATTGTCCTTAGTGGTTACATAGTTACATAGTTACATAGTATTTGAGGTTGAATAAAGACATTAGTCCATCAACCAATGTTGTGGTGAGACAAGTTGTTTTACATGCTGGTTTGTGAGTGTGCCATGACGCCTTTCTACTGTACCAGTCTTGGAATATCCTCGTGCTGTAACAGTCATGTCTGTCCTCCGGATTCCTCTGTTCTCTGTGTTTGTACAATGTATCTGATGGTTTTGCTCCTTGACTCCTCATCCAGAAAACCTCTTCAATCTGAAGTTTGCAGCGAAGGAGCTTCACCGCAATGCTAAGAAATGTGAGAAGGAGGAGAAGACTGAGAAAGCCAAAATTAAGAAGGTCGGAGAACTGGAAAGCACAAATCTCAGATGTCACATAAGGCCCCCCCCAGCCACACGATTTATTTTTAGTGTTATAATGACCCACCCCGAGGTCACCGCCATTCCCACAATGCACCAGTGCCTGGAAATGTACTCAGCTCAGACTCTCCCATTAAGTTCTCGCCCTTTCTTGAGGTCCGGGGTTCCTCCCGTTGTCCTCAGTACAGGCAGTGATGGAACTTGCAGTTGTCACCACAACATTGAGGTGAAATCCTTCAATGGGGACACCTTTTCTGTGAGGGGATTTCCCTCCCTTTGGAGAGATTTCCTGTTGGTTCTTTGGGACAGGAATTGATGGGAAATCACTCCAATGGGACACAGGCAGCCAAAAAACCCGATACTTTTTATTAGCGGCCTCGTGACTCTCAGATTTTTGAAGGTCAGAGAAGTAATTGTAGTTTGATTCTGTTTAAAGCTGGAGTTTAGTCTGCTTATATTTTGTGTATAAGACTGTGATAGAAGACTGGAGGGGAGGACGGAGGTCAGATAGAAGACTGAAGGGGAGGACGGAGGTCAGATAGAAGACTGAAGGGGAGGATGGAGGTTAGATAGAAGACTGAAGGGGAGGACGGAGGTCAGATTTGTTATACATGTTGGACTTTGGTTACATTTGTTGCACTTTGTGGTTTGGTTGTCTGCAGGCGATTCAGAAGGGGAATACGGAGGTCGCTCGCATACACGCAGAGAACGCCATCCGGCAGAAGAATCAGGGCATAAACTTCCTGCGGATGAGCGCCAGAGTGGACGCGGTGTCAGCGAGAGTGCAGACAGCGGTCACTATGGGGAAGGTGAGTTCGGTGCTACAGCCGGAAATGTATCGG